GTCTGATTTATCACGTGCTTGCATGTCAGCAGCGTCTCCGGCCCACAGCGTGGTTTCGGTTGTTCACAGTGCCCGTGCTGACTCTGCTTGCCAGCGCGCGCGCGTCGCGTGTTGCTGCTCGCTCCATGCCGCCTGCCGCCAGGGGCACCGCCTCCAGCGCGCTGCTCGCGGCTGTGGCCTGCGGCGGCTCGGTGCCCATTGCCACCTTCGACGGCGCCGCCGCCACGACGCGGAGGTGGGAGGTCGTCAACGACCCCGTCATGGGCGGGCAGAGCTTCTCCAGCTTCCACGTGAACGACACGCAGGGCCTTGGCGTCTGGTCGGGGCAGGTGCGGGTCGTGCCGTTCCTGGGCGCGCCCGGCTTCTGCAACCTGCAGTCGCCAGGGCTGGGCAGGACCGCGGACTTCCCGGACCTCTCGCCCGCGAGCGGCATCGGGGTTCGAGCGAGGGAGGCGAACAGTTCTGGGCTCCTGCACTTCAGCGTGATGATCATGTCGAAGGGTGCGCGCCGCCTCATGCAGAGGGGCGTCTACACAGCCAACGTGACCTTCTCTTCGGAGACCCAGGAGGCCTTCGCTCCCTGGTCGGCCTTCGTCTGCACGTGGCGGGGCCAGATGGTCCCCTGGTGCCCGCCCCTGCTCACCCAGCTTGACAAGGTCGACAGTGTCGGGCTGGGGACGGCCTTCCCGGGCACAGCGGGGGACTTCCAGCTGGTGTTGGAGTCCATCTACGGTGCTCGGACAAGCACCAGTTTCGTCGACTCCTCCACTGATCGGGCAATTGCCGACTTCGTCGACCTCGCCACGTTCGATGGCAAGGCGCCACGCAAGTGGCACTCCGAGAACGATCCAGTGATGGGCGGTCAAAGTGACAGCACGGTCCAGGTGGCGAAGTCGTTCGCGGATTTCAAGGGCTCCACGCGGATAGTGCCATCACTTCAGGCTCCAGGCTTCACCATCGCCTTGACCGAGGGTCCGCTCCTCTCTCGTTTCCCGGACGTCTCCGCCATGGACGGCCTGGCGGTATCAGTCAGCAACATGGGAGCACCGTACTCCGGCTTCAAGATCGCCTTCTGCGACAGCCACCTTTTCTTCCGGTGCCAGTTCCAGAGCTTCAAGGCCGCGCTGCCAGTCCCGGCGGCCGCCAGCCGCGGCTTCCAGGAGGTCTTTGTCCCGTGGAAGGAGTTCTCGAACAGGTGGAACGCCTCCACGGGCGAGCACACGGCCGAGAGCCCGCCCGGACCGAGCAGCCTGCGCTCGATCACGCAGCTGCAGCTCTGGGCCGAGGGCGTGGAGGGGGACTTCGACCTCCGCTTCTCGTACGTCCGGGCGGTGCGGGCCCCCGTGCGGCCGGCCGCGGCGGCGCTGCTGGTCTGAAGCCGACAGCCGACCTCGAGCCCGTCGGCGCTGTCTTCATGAGGAGAAAAAACACAGACACAATTAATCGTCGACTCCCCAGAAAATATGGGAAAATATGGGAAGTGGGGAAGACAAGAACCCGGAAAATATGGGAAAATATGGGGAATCCTTTTATTTGTGTGCATTTATTTGTGTGTCCCAGGGCCCCTTCAGTAGCACGATCTTGCTATTCTCTGGATTGATTCGTCTACCGGGGACTTTCCCCTCGGTGCTGCCTCCTTTCCGCGGTCTTGCCCTGCGCCCGTCGCGCACGCTGCTATCTCGACGGCGTTCGCTCTCCACGCCATTCGTGCAGACAGATCGCGGATCTGTGAGAGATGCGCGCTGCTTGTCGGAGGACGTGTTTCGCGGCTGATCAGAGACGACAGGTCGCGGATCCTACTGGGGTCTGGCGACGGATGTTGCCAAGCGTCTGCGTCTTGAAGCTACATGTTGCAACGAGGGATGACTGGCAATGTGCAGCGTGCATACCGCACCAGCAATCAGACGATCGTCTACACGGGACTCGTGTAGCCAAAAGAGGGCGGGGCAAGTTATTTTCTCTCTACTCCTCTTGTTTGACGTGTTCTCCTGGTTGCGGGCGGCAGTCATCCCGACGTTCCCTCTCTTGCACTGGCATGGCATGCCATTCTCCCCCTGGCTTCTTTCTGTGTCTTCTGTTTCGTTATGCACTCGGCCCTCTTGCCAGGGTCTGGCACGGCTGACGCGCCTGTCACCTCACAGCCCGCACCGATCCAGGCTGGCGACTACTTCGGCGAGAACGCGCTCCTTCGCGATGAGAAGAGGAGTGCTGCGCTCTGCCTCTTCTCGTGGAGGCTGCCGACGTCGCCATCGGCACCCTGCCCAGAAACTGTCGGGCGGTGGTGGGGCATGTCAGCGTGTGTGCTCAGTGTAACAGTTCGATGGCGGAGCTGTCTTTTGGGCCAGAGGCCCCGCCGCGGGAAAAAATATTGGGTCAGCAGTCTCCCAAAGCTGTCTTGAGATAGCAGGGCTCCCTCCTCCATCATATCGGGCCATCGATCCCTCTCAAGATGAGCACCTATCTTTTGGGTCCGTCAGCCTGCTCGGGACCATGTCAGGTCGTTGGCGCTGTCGCATCGGGGCTTCTGTCGAACTCTAGCTGTTGGCAAGGTCCCTCTTCACACGATGTATTAGCATCTGGCACCGCCACTGTGAGTGCGGTCTGGTAGATTGTACATCCCGTCTGAGAGTTTATTCAAGACGCTTCGCTCTCACCGCCAGCCCTTTCTCTAGCCTGACCAGAAGAACCGAAGACGGCCTCAAGGCGGGCCGAAGACAGGCCAGACGAATCCCAGACGGTCCCGCAGGAGGCCACGCATGGTTCCCAGACTGTTGAACATGACGCCAGGACGGCCCCAGCGCGAGCATCCCCGTTTTGGACCCACGCGCCGTCCGATTCCTCTTCTTTCTGGGCCGAGTGCCACCTCCCCCTCGTCCTCTCTTTCCCCCTCCTCTGCCCCTCCTCGTCGGCCCCGCTGCACGCAGGTTTCTCGCCTCCGAAGGCGAGGTCCCCGCCCAGCGGGGCCGCCCTGCCCCCAGAGAGCTGCGGGGGGAGGGCTCGCCCCGGGCAGCCTGGTTCGGGGCTCGCCTTCGTGTCGCACCTGTGGGTTGGGAAATGCGGCCGGACTTGCCCAGCAGACCCCCAGCTCGGAGGCGACGATAGGGGCGAGTAGCCGAGGGGGGAGCAATGCACGTATCCAGGGATGCCGATGATCCATGTCTTCGAAAAGGCTCCCGGGCGAACACGCGTAGTGCCCGCCCCTGGGCTATTCGCCCCTATCGTCGCCGCCGACCAGCGGCCTTCCTCTCGGCTCCTTGCCTTTGCAGGGAGAGGCCGGTCGGAAGAGGCCGGGCTGGGCGTCTCGCGCGAGGCTCCCCTGCCACTTCGTGACCCGGAAGCCCCCAGCGTTTGAGCAGTTTCGCATGCTGAGGGCGGGCCGCTTCCGAGAGGTTGGCTCTCGCCTTGGCGCCGCGCACAGACGTCTCCAACACTTGCACGAGTTTCACGGATGGAGGGCGGGCCGTTTGCACGTGGTCCTCGCACCAGCGCCGCGCGCACTCGTTGTGAGAGTCGCAAGAGTCTCACGGATTGAGGGCGGCCCGTTCTCCACGTGTGACTCTCGCGTTAGCGCCGCGCACACTCGTTTTGGAATCTGTAAGACGTTCACGGATTGGGGACTGGTCGTTTGGAATCTGTGGCTCTCGCACCAGCGCCGTGCACATTCCTCGTAAACATTTCAAGAGTTTCACGGATGGAGGGCGGTTCCTTTTAAATATTGTGGCTCTCGCTTTAGCGCCGCGCACATTCGTTTGCAGTGTTGACAACAGTTTTGAGGGTTCTCATGGTTAACGTATCAGGAATGGTCTTTTGGAGCCGTGCAGGACTGTCAGGGTGCAACATGTACGTTGATTCGCAATGCTGAAGTCCCAGGAACGGTGTTCTGGCTCGGTTCAGGATCGTCAGGACGCAACAGTCATCTTGATTTGTGGCGTTGAACTCCCAACAATTTGGCTCTGGCGCGGTTCAGGGTTTTCTAACTGTTGTCTCCCCAAGGGGAACTGCCTATAGTGAAGATGAATCCTTGTAGTTGTAGGGGTCTATGAAAGGGGGAGCTTAGGCAATATCGTTAATGACTTTTGGGGTTACACTGGTCCTTCTCCTCTTCGACCTTCCCCTGCCCCCCCGGAGGGCGGGCCCGAAGAGGTGGGCTCCGCTCCGCGCGGGAGTTCCTAGACCGACGCTTTTGTGCTCGCGGTAAGCTCCTGGACGTCCCGGGCCCGCGACCGCCCGGCGCGGGGCCCCTCCGACGTCCGGCGAGGGGCAGATCTGCAGAACCTTCCACGGCGCACGCTCTTCGCTAAAAGCTTAACGGCTTCTGCCGTCCTTCGACTCGCGCTGGGGCGGCAGCGATTTGCTCCGAATTTCCGTGGAGATTTCTGGATTTCACTGGATTTGCAAGCGTTTACTCAGATTTACTTGGCTCGATCCCCGCAGGTTGATTGGCGAAAAACCACCTAGCCTTAGGGACCCCTGCCCACAGCTCTCATGGCGGGGCTGAGATCTTTCAGTCGGTTTGGGGAAGGGCTGGTGGGCCGTGTTGCCAAGCAGGGAGGACGCCGCTGACCATTTGCCATCAAGAAGAGCATTGCGAGAAGGAATGCGAAGATGACAAAGGGCGGCCGTGACGACGGCGACGACGCTCTGAACTGTGCTAACGGCGATGGTGACAACGATGTCCACTTGCCAACATGACGGAATGGAGCGTCAGTTTGCATCACATGCGTTGGAATGTTTGTTTTTTTCCGTTCCCTCACTCGACACCTTGGCGAGCCTCAAGTGATGATGCGACTAGCACCTGCTCGTTTTCAGAATAACCGTACATCTTACCGTGCTGGGATTATGGCCATTGTTGTGGACCCTGCTTCCTTCGCGAGATCACTTTCGTATACCGTGGTTGCTTTAATCATGCCGCCGCAGAACAGAGTGGCAGTCGCTGTCACGGGATCCCTGGTTTCGAGCGGGTCTAGTGAAGTTTCAGGCCGCTAGCTGGACGCCGTTGGCAGCGCCAATCAGCGCCATTCCATCCTTACAGGTCAAGCAGACTGCATGTCCTGAAGGTGCACCATCACTTTCCCCAGCTCTGGCCACTGGAGTTTTGTCCAGGTGGTGGGGCACAGCCCAGCGCTAATTCTGCCCTCTTCCTCTTGCTAGTGGCGACTTGTCCATTAAACTTACGCTGATACCCACGCCTGCGCAAGAAATATATTGAGCCATGAGTTAGTGATTCTTGGGACACCTGCCGGTCCCTTGTATGTGTATCCAGGACCGCCACCATCACAGCCGTCACGCCGATGCAGACGATGAAAATGTCGCGGCAGAAGTTCCAGGAGCCACCGCTCCGTCGGCGCGAGATCCTACGATGCGATGGACGGCATCGATGTTCATGTTTTTGAGGAGGGCATGTTGATCGATTCGATTTGATGTTGCATGTCGATGCCTACGTGTGGTCTCGTTAGATCCGTGTACGTGGAGACCCCCCGCCTGGTGGTCTGGTGGTCTCGTTAGATCCGTGTGGTCTCGTTAGATCCGTGTGGTCTGGTGTGGAGACCCCCCGCCTCCACATAACGGTTCTGGTCCGATTGGTTCAACACCTGAAACCGATTTCCATACTGGTTGGGTATTTAATTACCCCAGTGCGACCCTACCTAGAAGTTGGAGCCCCTAGGAAAGCAGCATTAGATGCTATGCTATGCTATGCTAAGCTATGCTATGTCATGCTGCGCTGTGCTATGCTAAGCTATGCTATGCTATGCTAAGCTAAGCTAAGCTAAGCTAACCCTCTAGGCAGAACCTGGGTAGGGAATTACACCCATGCGGGGCGGATTCTGGGGGAACCGCGGGGCGGATACTGGGGCAACCGCCCGGGGCGCTTTCCACTGCCCGGCCCCTTTAAGCCCAGAGAGTAAGAACCCTTCTAGGCAGAGCCTAGGTAGGGAATCAATCAAGTGAAAGAGTTCGCATCGCGCAGGTCGGCCAGTGGCGGCGGCTCGATGAGCTCCGCCACTTGAGCGGCCTGATCGACCTGCGACGGGGTGGGTCTCCCTGCTGGTGTCCACGAGACTTGGCAGTCTCGATGCTCCTCTGCACTGGAGGCCTCCAGGGAGCGCGAGCGAGATGAAGGAGAAGGGGGGGAGGATGTGGGAGGGTCAGGAGGACAGAGGAGAGAGGAGGATGAGGAAAATGATATCTAGGAGGGAGCCTGGGGGGTGGATGAGGAGGCTGAGGGGAGGGGGAGCCCACTCTCGCTCAAGAGTTCTCCGACCAGACTTCCTCTGAACTGCATCCAGCCGAGAAGGCCAAAAGACTCGAGGTTCCGCCTCCGCCCCAGAGATCCGATGTCTCGTCTTTCTTCGTGACAGGCCCCCTGGACGCTCCGACCCTTTCCCCACGGCCGGCTTCTCGTCCCCATGCCATTCTTTGGCGGCCCCTGGGCCCGACGAGGGCTCCCCGGGGCGCAAAACCTCCGCC